GTTGCACACAGCTGTTTCAAAAAGAGGAAGTTTCACACAGTTTTCAACTGATGTTTCTCTGGAAAAAGAGTCCTGGAGGGAGTACCAGACGAAAGAAGAGGTCTGCTGCAAAACCAGACCTCAAGAGTTACCCCTGAATGCAAAATGCTGAGAAGGCCATTGCTTCTCATGGCAACAAAAAGGAAAGTAACTGTTCCCTGAAGCAGATGGGCAGGACTGCCTTGAGCGTTTCAGATCACTTGACTCTTCTCAAAGGTTACTGCGTCTTGGAGCCTGCTGTTTTGAAGGCTCTCTTCCCACACCTGGCTCCCTAAATACATATAACCTCCGGAGAGAGGCAAAGCAAAGGAAAATTACTTCCACGGGGAGGAAGATGGAGGGAAACACCATACCCTGAGAAAAGTTCCTGCCTCACCAGATGAGTGCAAGACACTAGACTCAGAAATAAAATAAACGCGCAGCCTGCACCATGTGATAAGGAGAAAAGAAGCTTTTGATTCTGGATGCAGCACTCCCCTTTTCGTGATTTGGGGCAGCAGGGTTGACCAAAAGGACAGTGCCATACTTTTCATACCATTTCCATATATGACAAAAGTTTGACCACCTACACTGTATGTAAGGAGTTTTTCTTTTCAACGTGTATACACTGCCTAGTTATTTATCTGCTTAGATCACTCATAAAAGGTCAACAGTCTTCATGTGTGAGGCCAGCAGCAAAGGCTTCAAATACCAGATCTCTCTAGCCCACAGCTATTAAAATCCAGAGCAGCATAAAAACAGCATGTCAGCACAGACACTGTCTTCTAGGGAAAAAAAATCTTTAAAACAAATGAAAAATAATAATTTGTGACTTAAGACAGTGTACTGTGGTTAGTATTTATTCATATCCATACTCTAATTTCTAGCAACAGAAAACAGACAGAAGTTTCCAAAAGGTAATGAACTGTCAGGAAGTATTTTCTATACTTGTTTTAACCATTTTCTTACTTCTTTACTTGACAAAGCTGAAACAGAAACAGGAAAACATCAAAGAATTACCACTCCACTAAGTTTGTCTCCATTTTTCTGCTTGTCTACATCCTTTTGAAATTCAATTCGTCTCACTTTTTTACGACCTCTCCTCCTACCAAAGTACTGTAATGTCTCCAGTAGTCATCATTATGTCACCACTTCTTCTGCTATAGACTAAGGTAAGTAAATCAGACCATTATCCATTCACCTGGCTGTATTACGTTCCCTGCCTTAAATCCTAATCCTCTTATTACTTATTTTTCCAAGTCATTACTCACTTCCTCTTACAGATGTATAATACTGATACTACCATTCAAAACACACACTGTAACATCAGATTCTGTGGTGCTCTCCGTTCCCACAATAATTAGCTTGTGACAATCCCATGAACAAGAAAAAAAAAAAATATCAGTGACAAGTTCTGTAGGAACATAAATAAACAGATCACACACCAAAAAACACCAAACCCTTTTTTTTTTTTTATTCATTTTTGCAAAACTTCTTTGTGGGTTTTTCTTGAGCGTTCAACGTTCACCTCTACAGACACTGGTGGGCATACATTCTCCAGATAGAAAGTGGATTCCTATTCTTGAAACAACCATGGCACAAGTTGGAGTGCTGCCAGAATAACCATTCCTCCCTTCTCCCCAGGCCACTTCCCTCTGTCTTCACGTTAGCACAGGCACTCTGACAGATGGGGGGTGACCAGAACAAGGGACAGGGTTAGTATCACCCCTGGAGCAGGACAGCACTGGCAGCTCAGGGTTGAGAAGTGGCATCCCAGTGCTGCAGGGATACAGCTCTGCTTGCTCTCAACCTACACCATCGTTTAAGGACATTTCATTCCATCCTTTAGGCCTCAGATCCTGAAATAGTCACTTCAAAACAAAGTGTTTCCCCTGCATAACTTCTTTAAGTCCTTGGGCCTGGCTGGGTCCTTTTGCACATTACATTTACCCAGGAAATATCCGTACAAATGTCAAAGCAGTGCCTGTCACTTGCCACCTCTGACCATGCAAGGATCTCCGCTAGCAAGAGATACAGGTAAAGCTCATGCCAATACACAGAGCTTAGCACAGAAAACAATTTTCAAAGACTGTACTCAAGAATACAGATAATAAAACAGGTGCTATAGGTAACAAGCATTTTTTATAAAACATTCCCAATTTGAAATCTAATTGGATTTAGTTTGAAGCTTTAAATAAAAATCTATTTAAATAAATGTTTTCTTGCTAAATAACCTAAACAAACACACAGCACCGCTGAGCTCAAGGGGAAGAAAAGAGAGATATTTCGACATCCCAACTGCTGCTTGATTTTTTGTAAAGGGTTTGTTTCAACATGTCATAGCCAAACAAGTCAGACCAGCACTATCACTCCCACTCCTTTCTAATACAAAAAACCATTCCAGTACAGTTATATTTCATGAAGTAGCTCCTTATTTGATTGACAAGAAGCCCAATCTCTTGCAAAATAAATTCCATCTCAATACAATATATTCTCTGAAGGCCCGTCTCATTCCTCTTTAAAGTTTTTCTCTTCAAATTTCCTTGGCATAATCTACTTCAAGACCTTCTGAATCAAATCCCTATTTTCTGATTTTATTTACACTAGTCAGGTGCTTCCAAAGCAATGAAAAGAAAGTTTTAGAAACTGCATGCCAAGCTACACAAAATTAATTTGAGTCACACAACTGGTAGAGAGTTATGCATTCACAATGAAATCCAACATACTAAAAACCTTTTCAGAAGGAAATCTTTTCAGAAGGAAACTTCTTGCTGAAAATAATTTTGTGGCATTTTTTTTTTTTCAAAATCAAGTCAGTTTCAAAATTATTTCAACCAATATTTAACTTAAATGTAACACCAAAACTATTCAAGTACATAGACCCTCACCTTTTCTTTTCATGTCCTTTTTACTTTCAAAAAAAAAAAATACTGACCTAAATGCTACTTTATAGCAGGTGTATAAAACTATACAAGATAAAATAATAGATTCATGTACTGAACAGCCTGAATATTTACAAAACACTTAAATGCAACTTAGTAACTAATTAATTTTAGGTGCACATTTTATGAGTCTCTATGAACATGATTCAACATCATTAAGCCAAGACAAGCACATACACCCACGAGTTTTATTCTTGGGCAGGGGGAAGTATATTTTTGAATGTACATCAACAAGCCCCACTTACTCACACTTCAGTGCATGTAATGCAATACAAGTATCCAAAATGGCAAGGAGTTGCACATGCATGTGGGCAACTGAATAAGCACAACAACACTATGTCTAATGAGCCAACTGAAACGGAAAAATTCATTTGAAGCTACTTAGTCAAGAATGAAGCACTACAATAGGACTACCCAGCCTGGCTGTCTACAGCCTCACCCTTTGTCAGTTCCTGAGGAGTGGGGGGGAAGAGGAGGGAGAAATGGCAATAGCTCATGATAATGTGTAACTACTTCAATAAATAAAAAGCCAAAGTACCTAAGTAGTATTCTCAGAACAAGCATCTTGAGTATCTGCTGCATTTGTATGGAACAGCTGACATCGAGACACTTGCACTTGTCTAGAACAGAATCATAGAATCACAGAATGGTTTGGGTTGGAAGAGACCTTAATGATCATCTAGTTCCAACCCCCCTGCCATGGGCAGGGACACCTTCCACCTTGCAGAATTCATTCTGCCTTTTCACGACTTGCACGTTTTTATCCTGAAGGGCCTGAAAATACTGTATCGAGTGGTGTAGACCAAAATGAGCTCTCACATTAATTTCTTATTTCCTCTCATGTACTTTTTTGTATAATGTGGGCATGCGTCAATCCATATGGTTTCCTGACTTAGTTTTCTGTTGATGAACTTAGTGTAGTTTTTAAGCCCGTAGCTGCAGTTTGCAATTAAGTAATGGGGAAACACAAGTGAATTAGAATATTTTACATGAGCATGGTGCATGAAACATTCTTGTTTACAAGCTACAGTCAAATAGTAGATTCTTCTGGCACGAACTAGTCACTAATTTCATCAAGCCTACAACTGCCCTGCACAAGTTTTCACTCCCTGCATGAATAGCTGTAAAATATTTAAAAGTTTTCTCCCAATCACTCATTGTCCTAGCTCACTAGCTTTTTACTGAATTTGCAGAGACAAGCAATACCCAAGACATACTACTGCCAATGCTGTAAAGCAGAACTGAAAAAGGTCTTCAATAAAGACAAGTTTAGCTTCTAAAGAAAACAAAACACCCTCAAAGGCTAAATACTAATGGATTTTACATGTCATACAGATTGGATAACTACACAAAGAAAGGATTAAAAAAAAAAAAAAACCCACCCACAAAATCAGAAATATACATCCCTTTTGAGGCCAATGTAGAATGCAATGATGTACCAAAAATCACTTTAAATGCCCATCTGGTAGCACCTTAAACACTGAGGTATCCTACCGCTCACTAACTCCGGAAGTTCACTGAAGTCCACAGCTGCTGACGGCACTCAATCAGAATGGGGTTTATAAGAACTAGACAAAATATTTACAAGTGTTGGAGAAAAACAGAGGTGTTTACATAATCTTTGGCAACAGGATATAAAAACATGGCACTTGTAGTACACTGTCCAGCTGCTTACAGAAAAAAACATCATGTTAGGAAGGCAGGAAAGGCAACCTAATCAAGCAAGTGAAACCTAATTTTTTTTCCTCTTTTCCTTTTAAAAAGTCTCATGAGAGGTCTCAACGTAACAGTAAGTGAATGCAACGCAAAACATACTTCTAGAAAAAGGTAACACTGTAAAAACATTCAAAGCAAAATATTTGCATTTAAAATTGTAACCAACTACTTAATCTTAGTATGGCCTTCATTCTTAGATGTTTCTTATGTTTTCCAAATTACTGCTATTAGTTACCTGGAAGAGTAATTATTTAACCCATTAACTTAAATAAATGCTGAAACTTTCTTCCATTAAAAGCTAAAAGCAAAGTAAAAGACACCTACCTGTAATACCGAGATTGTAAATAGGTTGAACAAATAGTCTTTGATACATGGCTGGCAGACCCAAAATCTATTACTTTAACCCGATAAGGCTGCCGAACAGGATCCACCAACATAATGTTCTCTGGTTTGAGGTCAGCATGGATTAAACCCAGACTTTTTAGTTTTTTCAGTGCAGTGGCCACCTGTTGCAGAATCGGCCGTATTACTTTCAGTTGCAGAGGGCTGAATTTGTTTTGTTTCAGGAAATCGTATAAATTCTGTTCCAACATCTCAAAAACCAGACAAGTATGGTTACGATGCTGGAAGCATTCATAGGCTCTCACAAAGTTAAATTCATCAGCATTCTCAGTACTTAGTCTCGCTAATATGCTCACTTCTATTTGTCCTTGGCGTGCATACGAAGGATGATTCTTCAAGATTTTGATTGCCACAATCTCATTTGTCCCCCTCTTCCAGCACTTCACTACTTGTCCAAATGTCCCTCGCCCAAGGAAATCAAGAACCTCGTAAGTGTTTTTCACAGAGCACAATACCTCATGCTGTACTAACTGGTAATCTCCATCTCCGCTCGTACCACTCGGTTTTGAAGTTGCAGCCGTTGTCACAACCGTCACCGTGTTTCCTACGTTGGTTTGCAACATTGCAGGCAGGATGGACAGTTCATCAACAATCTGCATCGTGCTGTTTTGATTATCCAGCTCTTCACTCTTACGCTTCAATCCACATCGCTGGGGTCCTTCCAGGATATCTGATCGGCTTCCTTGCGTCCCAATCCGAGGTGCCTCTAACTGAGCTTGCTGCGCCCGCGCCGCCAACGCTTTTGTAGCACCTGCAATATTTTTTAAAGCAACAGCATTTGACTGCAACAAAAAGTTCTGTCCTCGAGGTCTGTCAAATGGGTTTTTAGTCTGAAAGTACGTACTAACCCTGTGGGGAGAAATTCCAAAGTTTTTACCATTCACATAGATTTGCGGGTAGGTTCTTTCGTGGTACACGCAACTGCTTGGTTCTAGTTTGAGTTTCTTCACACTACAAAAGGCACTTGACTGGGTTTGATAAACATATGGTGGATAGACCAAGACTTGTGAGGCCATACCTATGGAGGGAGAGAAAAAGAGAAGGTGAGTGACAATCCTGCATTCACATTTCCAAGCTTTGCAGAAGCTTCCTCTTCTGAAAACAACCAGGACATTAGTATATTTTCCAAACAAATAGCCTAAAGTTATTTCATTTCTTATGGCCAAGAGCAGGATGATCGTGCCTCACCAGCAGCGCGCGCTCTTTGGTGAGCAAGGACTGCGGCGACAGCAGGTTACAGTAGGAGGTGGTTTGGCTGGTTATACAAGGCAGGATTGAGAGAGCCTGCATCAGCACTGCCAGTAATTTTTCAAGTGGGGGAGCTACCCTTGTGCTGTTAAAAAATCATCTTCCATTTAAAAATCCCCAGCGTTTCTACATGCAAAAGTATTGTAGTGTCCAGTAACTTAAGTTAAATAACAAATTCAAATATCTATCAGTGATGATGTAACATAACTTAAAAGCTCTTAATTGCGAGCTGATGCTACTTGTTACACAATGCATCTGACCTACTCGTCATAAGCACCGTCAGGCTTCTGAGACCAGATGGACAAATGACACGACTGTCTCTGCTCTAAGAATTTCACCATGATGAAAGCAAAAGCGATCTGGCTGTGTGATGGCGCCCAAAATACCTTGAGGGTATGCGTACGAAAGAAATCAAGCTTTCTGGGTAAATTGAGACGTACAGTGATCTAACCTATTCATGAAAGGCAAGTGCTTTCTTTAAATTATATATTGTCCCACTGCAGAAGTCTGCACATCAGTGACACAGTTGTAGGGGGTAGAGCCACCAATTCCTACCAGCCACCCCTTCAGCTCAGATTTGGAGACTAAATATTAGCCTCATACTTTCAGATATGCCAGTTCCATGAGCTGGGCCATAGAAAACCTTCACCTGTTAAATTACGTATAATATTCTACAGACCTATAAAATATGTCCCTGACCAAGATCATTTCTGATAACTGGCCTGGTAGTTGTAGGTAGAGAACTTACAAGAACAACCTTCTCACAGAAAATTGATTTTCAAATGAATGTGAAAGGAAGACAAATAATACCTTTTTCTATATATATAGAATACATACATTTTTCATATATTTTTAAATATTTTTTTCTGACAACACAATTACTTCCTTGCCAAGAGAGAAGTGAAACTTAGAATAAAGGATTATGGATAATTTCAACTTTTGAATCCCCAGTAAGGCTGAGATCAAAATCCCAACCTGAATTACTTGACCTTCCTTGAAGTCATCACATTTTTAAAGGCTGTTCCCATACAGCCTCTCAAAAAGAACACTTGCACCTCAGCAATCAGTAATGAAGAAGAGTTTTGTGCACGAAGAGTCAGTTTCCCAGCCCACAAAGCCCCCAGGCACAGCAGCCTTGCTCTGCATAGCCTGTGCGACATTACAGCATTAGTCCCACTGCCTCCCTGTATTCACCCAGACTTGGGACACTAGATCTGCAGAAAGCAGAGCCTCAGGATAGTCCAGGGTCATGCTCACACCCTACTTCTCTTTCCCAGACATGAAGCAGAGTGTACCAGCACATTGCCTGAGGGAGGAGGACAACGGCAGAAATACCTGACCTGCATGTAGAATGCTGAATCTCAATCCCACTTTAAAACACACAGAACCCATCTCTCTGATTCTGTACTTTACAGCTCCCATCTCTGCACTGACCCTGCTATGTCCCCTTCCAGACCCATCAAACATCAGCCTCAAACATCTAAGTCACGTAACGCTAAACGCTAAGAAAAAGGCACTGAATGGACCCCAGTGTAAATGACTTCTACATTGCCCAAAATAAAGGTTTCAGGGAAGTTATGGCTTATACCAGCTAAATCAGCACTCAGAAATTAATTCAATACCAATAATACTTTAATTAAATCACTTTTTCATACCAAGCGCATGAAGATTCTGGCAATAGGTATTTAAATTGCAGATGAGTCACATAAAACTTGAGCCAGACATTGCAGCGACTCTGATCAACGAAAACTAACCAAACGCACAGCATAATTACTCTGACGCTGTGATTTGATTTATGGAAATTAGCACTTAAACCTCTTAAAAGTGATTAAAATAATCATACCATCACCTCAGTTTACCACCCTATACTGGCTTTTGCCCCAGCAGTAGAAGAAAACTTCAAATCCCTTTCTTTTCCGAAGCTGTTTGCCCAGAGGCAGGCGATGTAGAAAGCTGGAGATTGCCAGCAGCCAGGTTCTTGTCACCAAACATTATGGGACTGCCACCGGCCTCCTGCTCCACGGCAAGGATTTAAGACTAACTCTCAACCTCAAAATACACGCAAAAAGTCTTCAGGTTCTTGAATTCTCCGCTAAATAGCTTATCCCATTACAAAGCGCCTGGTGTACAACGTATTATTGTCTACAGGACTTTGCTGTAACCACTGTATTTAAAGGAATTATTTATTCTGATCACATTACTTAGAGCTCCAAAAATCAACCCTCACTGACTGACGCACAGCAAACATATATCCAAGCCTACTTGGAGCTACCAATGCCACCTGCACAGCTCAGGGCAAGCCAAACCTACCATCAGCAGCCTAACATTCTTCCAGTTTCTCTGGGATGAGTCAAATACCAGATTTACCACATTTGCTCCAAAGACACTCAAGTCTCCAAATAATTTCTTTTGTTTTCTTAAAATCTTCGCAAGGTTCCTGTTTAAAAACCTTCACTGGCTTTTTCACCATAATCCCCACATATACATACGCATGAGACAAGCAAAACGTTCAACCTCAAAACACTAATACCTAAAGAAACCGTTCCTCTTTTCATTACCCCACAAAGTTTGCAGACAGGAGAGTTCAGATGCCCAGTGCCACCGCTGTGACTCAGTCTAATGTAGATGACAGATGGAAGTACAGAGCAGACCCAGGAGCATGGCTGCACCGCTAAACTCCAGGTCAAAACCAGCTTCGGTGCGAGCAGCCAAAGCCGTGCTGCCCGACAGGGAGAAGCCTGCACGCCTGACCCATGGCCAGAGCCCTGCCACGCTGCAGCAACCCCAGCGGGTCCGCTCGCCACGGACCTGCCGTAACCAAACAGCGAACGTCTTGCTTGGTTTAACTTCTGGAGAAGGTATTTGCCTATGCAAGCGTGTCACCAAAGCCAACAGCATGAAGTCAAGACAATCACTTTGAAAAAGCAGTGATAAACCTAGACTGCAATTAAGGATGTTTCCTAAAGACACAACAACTCAGTACTGGGGTGCACGGTGGGGGAAGACACTCCCCTAGCATGGCCAAGGGATCACTCAAATTCTTACCCGAGCCTGTTGGGTCCACCGGCATTTAAAAACTCTCCTACAGTTCATGCTAATCAAACCAGTCCAGAAGGACTGGAAGCACACAGTCCCAGCTTTCTCCTCAACACTCATTTCAGTGCAGCCTTCCAGTACCTGAAGGGGCTACAAGGAAGCTGGGGGGGGACTTTTTACAAGGGTCTGTAGTGACAGGACAAGGGATAATGGGTTTAAATTGAAAGCGGGGAGATTTAGATTGGACATCAAGAAGACATTCTCCCCGGAAAGGGTGGTTAGGCACTGGCACAGGTTGTCCAGAGAAGCTGTGGATGCCACATCCCTGGAAGTGTCCAAGGCCAGGCTGGATGAGGCTTTGAGCAACCTGGTCTAGTGGAAGGTGTCCCTGCCCATGGCAGGGGGGTTGGAACTGGATGGTCTTTAAGGTCCCTTCCAAACCAAACCATACTGTCATTCTATGACAGTTTTTAGATGAGAAAAACTAAGCTAGCTTTATCATATTTTGAGGGTTTGTTTTTACTTCTTCCAAGCTGCAGTCCATGACCCTGAACTCCAACCACACTAACAGTCTGTTCTCAGATAAGAAGTGTTTATTGAGTTATTATGAGAACATTTTTATCAACTCCAAGAAAAAAAAAGGCACTAAATAAAATAGATGACATACCCTGGAAGAACAATGCAATCATGACAGACTGAACTAAAAAAGTCAAATTTTTACCCCAGCAAATTATAAACAGCCTTAGACTTCTTGTATGAGCATCTAATTTTTCAGCTTCCCCTAAACACTTCTCCCTTACCCCCATAATATGAGGTGTGTGGGGTTTGTTTTGGTTTCTTTGGGG